GATTATTACATAAGTAGGCTGCTAGCTTCTATATAGGGATGCTAAAGTCAGCAATTTTTTGGAAAAGTTGGTTGCACAGTAACCGACTTTTCCAAAGTCATTTTCAACCACAGATGTGTGGCTTTCTCTAAAATAATCTTCATTTTTCACATTGGTTTTGTCGACCTATATAAGCTTCTCCAATAGTTTAGGCTTATCTCAAAGCATTCTAGATTTCTCCACACATTTCTCGAACATGTCTATCAATCATGTTCAAGCTTCTTGATTTTTATATATTTTTTTAGCACAAATGTGTATTAATTTCAACACTTATAATAAATTTTGTAGTATCAGAAAATCTAATGAAGCTTTCTTATATTTCAATCAACTGAAGCTTTCTTATATGTCAATCAATTATAGGCCTTGCATATGTAAACGACAATCTGACACAATAAAGAGGAATCTATTAACAGAGCTCCAAACCATCGTATATCAACAGCCATGCAGATATTCTTCCTCAATGCTCGACAGGAAAACGCATCATTCCAAAACATCCAGTGGAACGCACAAGATTCCTGGTAATCAGCGTCAGAATAGCGTAGGATGTGAAGAAAGATCCCATATTGCGAAATAAACAAATTTTAGAAGGGCTTATAAAGTTGGGTTACTCCTTACATTGCCAATTGATTCTTAGAGGAACCTACTTTCTTTATGATATTAAACCACGTTTAATAAACCCATAACTAGGACTGGCAATGGGTCGTGCTGTGTCGTGTTGGATTCACACAAAATCCATTTTCGTTGATTGTTCGTCCAAAAATTGATGATTTCATTGAAAAAATACTTATGCAAATGACAAAATTAACCTGAATGAATGTATATGCAATCTAATCTCAAAGGCAATGAAAGGGAGTTTGTGAAAATAATTTAAAATCTTAGGAGGTGTTCGTGTAATTTCTGAAACCTCAGTGAGTTTTATGACAAAGCCGAAAACCTCAAGGGTGTTTGTGTAAATAACTCTTTCATTTGGGTGAGTTGAAATCAACAACCCTAGGACGCACGGTGGAAGAGAATAGAATATGTCGATATATGCATACCACATATTTATTATTATTAATAAAAATTATATATCCATCACAATATATATCCATCACAATAGTAAATATCCAGTTTCCAAACCCCACTCAAGCTGATTAGTTATTTTCATACATTTCCCATAACGTGGCCTAGTCTTGTGATGCAAAAATATTAGAGATATTTAGTCATATACTTATTCTTAGCACTAATAATATAGACAAACCCTACACCATTTAATTTCTATAAACAAATCCAAAAAATGACAATTGACCCTATTGAATTTAATTTTGATCATTAAATTACTTTGATGCCCTCTTGAGTGTTTTGGGGTTTTTTTTTAATGAGGTTTTGAGGTTGGGTTTGTTTTAAGAAATCAATGGCAGTTTTGTAATTTAAAAGAAGTTAAAAGTCTTTGTTATGCTGTAAATGGACTTTAAGTGTGTTTCTAAAGTCCATTTCATATATGATTTATTTTATTTTATTTTTATATATACATAATTTGGGCTACTATATTGGGTATAATAGTGAATCTCCCAAAATATTATCTATCTTGTAGTTGAGTAATGGTGTGTAGACGACATTTTAAGTAGGCCCAATACTCGAACACTAACCAGGCTCCGCCACGAGATTTCTAGAGAGCCATGGAGCTTTTTGATAGTTCGAGGGAGAAAGGGTTTAGATAATGGTTGGTAGTGTTTAGGACAATAGCTTGATGTGGAATAGAAAAGTTTTTGAAAGAGTAGCACGGTATTTATTTTATTGATTGAAATAGGGAAGGTACAAGGCTTTAACACTAGAGTTGGACGATGGCTAGAGTTGGACAACTGCAGTTTTCAGTTTTTCTTAGTTGATTATTACATAAGTAGGCTGCTAGCTTCTATATAGGGATTCTAAAGTCAGCAGTTTTTTGGAAAAGTCGGTTGCACAGTAACCGACTTTTCCAAAGTCATTTTCAGCCACAGATGTGTGGCTTTCTCTAGAATAATCTTCATTTTTCACATTGGTTTTGTCGACCTATATAACCTTCTCCAATAGTTTAGGCTCATCTCAAAGCATTCTAGATTTCTCCACACATTTCTCAAACATGTCTATCAATCATGTTCAAGCTTCTTGATTTTTATATATTTTTTTTTAGCACAAATGTGTATTAATTTCAACACTTTTAATAAATTTTGTAGTATCAGAAAATCTAATGAAGCTTTCTTATATGTCAATCAACTGAAGCTTTCTTATATGTCAATCAATTATAGGCCTTGCATATGTAAACGACAATCTGACACAATAAAGAGGAATTTTCAAGTCACGAAATTAACTGAGCTCCAAACCATCGTATGTCAACAGTCGTGCAGATATTCTTCCTCAATGCTCGATAGGAAAACGCATCATTCCAAAACATCCAGTGGAACGCGCAAGATTCCTCGTAATCAGCGTCAGAATAGTGTAGGATGTGAAGAAAGATCCCACATTGCGAAGTAAACAAATTTTAGAAGGGCTTATAAAGTTGGGTTACTCCTTACATTGCCAATTGATTCTTAGAGGAACCTACTTTCTTTATGGTATTAAACCACGTTTAATAAACCCATAACTAGGACTGGCATTGGGTTGTGTCGTGTTGTGTTGGATTCGCACAAAATCCATTTTCGTTGATTGTTCGTCCAAAAATTGATGATTTCATTGAAAAAATACTTATGCAAATGACAAAATTAACCTGAATGAATGTATATGCAATCTAATCTCAAAGGCAATGAAAGGGAGTTTGTGAAAATAATTTAAAATCTTAGGAGGTGTTCGTGTAATTTTTGAAACTTCAGTGAGTTTTATGACAAAGCCGAAAACCTCAAGGGTGTTTGTGTAAATAACTCTTTCATTTGGGTGAGTTGAAATCAACAACCCTAGGATGCACGGTGGAAGAGAATAGAATATGTTGATATATGCATACCACATATTTATTATTATTAATAAAAATTAAAAATTAAATAGTAAATGTGTCAAGTAGGTCATTTTGCGGGTCGGCAAGTTGACCCAAAACTCACCTATTTATTAAACGTTTCATGATTGGTTGATTCAAATTTTACTCATAATCTTAATCGTGATGGTTGACCCGCTAATTTTTCATACGGGTTTTAAGTCATGTATTGGGTCGTATCGAAAATTGTCACCCCTACCCGTAACGGACTAGGTATGAGAGATAGCTTTGGGTGGAGAATAGGCCAATCAGTTTGAGGTTGGCTAGGCGCACGTTGAGTTGTAGATGAGGTTGGAAGAGCATGTTGACATGAGCTAACCTTGGTGTTTTTTTAAAATAGAAAACATCTTTCATCAAATAAAACATGTTGTGACAGAAAAATCCCATTCGTTGAAAAATTTAAACAACATGACTTTGTTCATTTAAAATATACCAAGGAAAACACATCTAGTGGAGTAAAATTGAAGTTGATTATATGGCCTTAAGAAAATCATACTATTTATCAAACAACCTTCGAGAGAAGACTTCAACCCAAAAATGCGATGCATAGCGTGTTGAAGGTTTTTCAAAATAGAAGTGCAGACGACCTCGCTAAAATGATTTTGACGTACATTTTTAGTCTTTGGATGTATCTCGGGATGCCAAAACATTTGGAAATTATATATGAACTTTAGAAACACTTCATATAAATGAATTTAAAGTAAAAGACACATTATTAACATGAAAGAGGTGTCCCATATGAAGTAGTACCTCTTGATGAAGAGATGTTATCCAAGAGATACATGAATTCAAATAGGCGTGATACCTATTCTGAAAAGATTCAAACTCCTCTATAAATAGAGAAGGTTTCTCTGCAACAATATATGAAATAATCATCCAATTCAATCGCAACTCTTCTCCATCTAGTTACAAAAGATAAAACATCTAGAGATTATATTTTGCAGGATATAATCTCTAGGAATCTTGAGTTTCCTTGTCAATTCTAATGTGTGTTTGGGATTGTCTTCGAATGTGCAACTCATTGACAAACAACACATCTATAGGTTGAGCTTCATTGTATCCACAAGACTTATTTGCGTATCCCTTTTCACCCAAGTTATGAGGGATAAATAAAGTCTGAAAGATCTTTTATCTTCCCATTATCATTCCTCATAAACACTTCTTCCATAGTCATTTTCATAGACTTTGTATCAACAAATTATCCAACATAGCATCAGTCCAATGAGAGAGGCATGGAGGCATGCGCTAAGAAGGTAAGCCCAATATCAACAATATGATGTCCTATAGGATGGTTGACGTCAATTGACCGAGATACACACTAAAATATATAGCAAACCTAATATATATGATATAATAGTATGATGTCTCTAGCATTTAATACGCACACAAGTCATAGATAAGGGAGAAAGAGTCCTAAGATGGTTGATATCTATCAATCAAGAGACACACTAAAATTTAGAGCAAAAATTTCTAAATGAAAAATATGTTAGTTTATAAGTGTATATGCTGAAATGTTATAAGAACTAAGAGTTGAATTTAGTTTAAATGTCAGCCCTTGGATTATAGTCCAGGTGTGCAGCTAAGATGTAATCTTAGAGTAAGTGATAGTTTATGTCATATGTCACTATCTTAGAGGGTAGATGAATGGATGGCTAGATTTGAATGATGTAATGAGGGAATATGCTATTCCCAACGATTTCATATGCACAGTGTGTGCGTGAATGAAAGCAAGCACCTCATTTTGCTTTTTTTTACAAGCTCTCTCTCTTTGAAATCTCTTTCTTTTGAACCTTTCATCTTCTTAAGATTTCCAACTCCATTGTTTGTAGATTTGAAGCTTACATACAAGATAACAGTTTGCAAAGTCTAACATGGCCACAAAGCCTGGTTGGATCAACTAATATTGGGCGTTTGGATATGTGAAAGAGCTATTGAGAAACTCAAAATTGAGCTCAAGTTTTTGTGATTTGAGTTTAACATGGCTGGGTTAGGTAGTGGCGAGTTGAGAGTGCCGATCTTCAACAACGATAATTATGAATTTTGGAGTATAAGGATGAAAATCATATTCGAGTCTCATGGGTTGTGGGATTTGGTTGAAAAAGGGTTTGACAGCACAGATTTAAAGAAGGCTGATGAATCCGATGCAAAGAAGAAAGAAAAAGAAGAATCAAGTGGTGCTGGGAAGATGACTCTCACAGAGGTACTCAAGAAGGATGCTAAGGCTCTTGGAAAGAAAAAGAAGAAAGAAAAAGAAGAATCAAGTGGTGCTGGAAAGATGACTCTCACAGAGGTACTCAAGAAGGATGCTAAGGCTCTAGGATTGATTCAGGGAGCAGTTTCAGATGAGATATATTTCCTAGAATTTCTCATGAAGAAATCTCAAAAGGCGCATGGTACATTCTACAACAAGAATACCATGGTGATAAACAGGTTAGAAGTGTTAAATTACAAGGTCTTCATAGGGATTTTGAATATACAAGAATGAGAGATGATGAATCACTTTCTGTTTATCTTACAAAACTGTTTGATTTAATAAATCAAATGCGGACCTATGGAGAGGGATTATCTCGAGAAAAGGTTGTTCAAAAGTTTGCAAAGTCTAGGGTTTGCAAAGTCTACTATGGCCACAGAGCCTGGTTGGATCAACTGATACTGGGCATTTGGATATGTGAAAGAGTTACCGAGAAACTCAAAATTGAGCTCAAGTTTTTATGATCTGAGTCTAACATGGCTGGGTTAGGTAGTGGTGAGTTGAGAGCGCCGATCTTCAACAGCGATAACTATGAATTTTGGAGTATAAGGATGAAAATCATATTCAAGTCTCATGGGTTGTGGGATTTGGTTGAAAAAGGGTTCGACAACACATATTTGAAGAAGGTTGATGAATTCGATGCAAAGAAGAAAGAAAAAGAAGAATCAAGTGGTGCTGGGAAGATGACTCTCACAGAGGTACTCAAGAAGGATGCTAAGGCTATATGATTGATTCAGGGAGCAGTTTCAGATGAGATATATTTCCTAGAATTTCTCATGAAGAAACCTCAAAAGGCGCATGGAACATTCTACAACAAGAATACCATGGTGATAAACATGTTAAAAGTGTTAAATTACAAGGTCTTCGTAGGGATTTTGAATATACAAGAATGAGAGATGATGAATCACTTTCTGTTTATCTTACAAAATTGTTTGATTTAATAAATCAAATGCGGACCTATGGAGAGGAATTATCTCGAGAAAAGGTTGTTAAAAAGTTTGCAAAGTCTAGGGTTTGCAAAGTCTAACATGGCCACAGAGCTTGGTTGGATCAACTGATACTGGGTGTTTGGATATGTGAAAGAGCTACCGAGAAAATTAAAATTGAGCTCAAGTTTTTGTGATCTGAGTCTAACATGGCTGGGTTAGGTAGTGGCGAGTTGAGAGCGCCGATCTTCAACAGCGATAACTATGAATTTTGGAGTATAAGGATGAAAATCATATTCAAATCTCATGGGTTGTGGGATTTGGTTGAAAAAGGGTTTGACAACACAGATTTAAAGAAGGCTGATGAATTCGATGCAAAGAAGAAAGAAAAGGAAGAATCAAGTGGTGTTGGGATGATGACTCTCACAGAGGTACTCAAGAAGGATGCTACGACTCTATGATTGATTCAAGGAGCAGTTTCAGATGAGATATATTTCCTAGAATTTCTCATGAAGAAACCTCAAAAGGCGCATGGAACATTCTACAACAAGAATACCATGGTGATAAATAGGTTAGAAGTGTTAAATTACAAGGTCTTCCGTAGGGATTTTGAATATACAAGAATGAGAGATGATGAATCACTTTCTGTTTATTTTACAAAACTGTTTGATTTGATAAATCAAATGTGGACCTATGGAGAGGAATTATCTCGAGAAAAGGTTGTTCAAAAGTTGTTAATTAGTTTGCCATCAGCTTATGACTCCATTTGTTTTGTTATTGAGCATTCGAAGGATTTGGATGTGATTGAGGTACAAGAAGTGGTAGCCTCTTTGAAGAGTTTTGAGTTAAGGCTAGATATGCATTATGAAAACAAAACTGAGAGAGCATTTTCTAGTCTTAGTGTGAATCCCAAACTAGTTAAGGTCACTGAAAATCAAAACGCTAAGCACCAGAAGAATTGGAAGGCAAAAGGTAAAAAGTGGGATAACAACTCTACTGATGGTGCTAGAAATCCTTGCAAGCACTGTGGAAAATTGCATTTCGGTGAGTGTTGATTGAAGGGCAAGCCAAAGTGCTACAACTGTGACAAGTTTGGTTACCTTGCAAGGGACTGCATTAGTAAGAAAACAATGCAACAACTCAATTATACCACTCAGGTAGAATATACACAAATTATGTTTTATGCTAGTAATAAAACTAATACTAGTGTAAAAGGATATGATGATGTATGGTATGTAGATAGTGGATGTAGTAATCATATGACAGGTAGAGAGGATCTACTCGTTGATATTGACAAGAATGTGATTGCAAAGGTTGAAATGGGTACTGGACAACTTTTTGAAGTGATTGGTAAAGGGAATCTTGTGGTTGAAACCAAAATAGGCAAGCGATACATCAAGAAGGTTATGCTTGTGCCTGGACTGAAAGAAAATTTGCTCAGTGTGGATTAAATGATGGAGCATGGCTACTACTTGGTGTTTGGAGATCACAAGGTGGAAATCTATGATGACAGTTCATATTCCAACATGGTTGCAAGAGTGCAAATGAGAGGAAATCGAAGTTTTCCAATGAAGTTTCAGTTTGGAATACACATTGCCTACAAGGCGAGTGTATGCCACTTTACTACTATGTGGCACAGAAGATTGGGACACTTGAACATGAGCAGTTTGAAGTTGATGCATGAACAAGAAATGGTGGTAGGATTACCAGAAATCAAAGCAGTTAAAGGAGTGTGTGAAGGTTGTGTTCTAGGTAAACAATGCAGAGAGGCATTTCCAAGGGAAGCTACTACTAGAGCTTATAAACAGTGACATTTATGGTCCAATGCAGACAACTACAAAGGCTGGGAATCGATATTTTCTTACTTTCATAGATGACTGCACAAGGATGTGTTGGGTCTATTTTTTAAGACACAAGTCTAAAGTTCTTAGTGTGTTTAAAAGATTCAAAGCTACTGTGGAGTTGCAAAGTGGTTGTAAGCTGAAGAAGCTTAGAAGTGATTGAGGAGGAGAGTACACTTCAGTGGAGTTCGACAGATTCTATAAGGATGTAGGCATGGAAAGACAACTCACCACTCCATACACACCTCAGCAAAATGGTATGGTAGAGAGAAAGAACAGAACTATTGTGGAAATGGTTGAGTGTCTTATGTTAGAGAAGAAAATTCTACTTGAATTTTGGGCTGAGGCAATCAATACCTCTATGTATATTCTGAATAGATGTCCAACCAAAGCCATGATTAAGAAAACACCTTTTCAAGCATACAGTAGGAGGAAACCAGGAATTAAGCATCTAAAGGTGTTTGGTTCATTGTGTTACTCTCATGTGACAAATCAACAGAGACAGAAATTGGATTTGGCAAGCAAAAGGTGCATTTTATTGGGGTATGGTAGTTGTGAGAATGGATATAGACTATATAACATTGAAAATGGGAAAGTGATTGTTTCCAGAGATGTTGTATTCAATGAAGATGCATGTTGGGATTAGAATGCACAGAAGGAAAGAAGTGTGAGTATTCAGATTACTGAAGTATCAGAAGGAGAACAAGGGCATGAAGGGAGTTCTTGTGATTCTGAAGCACAATATGAAGTAAGTGAAATGCCTAACTCAAGCACTGAAATATGTAATCAAGAAAGGATGACAGATCCACATGATATTGATCACACTCATCTCAAGTACAAAAGTATTGCAGAAGTGTATGAGAAGTGCAATCTGTGCATTATAGAACCAGAAAATTTTGAAGAAGCTGCTAAAGATGAATCATGGAGGAAGGCTATGGAATATGAAATTACCATGATTGAGAAGAATAACACTTGGGAGTTGGTTGATAGACCATTTGATAAACCAATCATTGGAGTCAAATGGGTCTATAAGACTAAATTGAATATGGAGGGATCTGTGCAGAAAAACAAAGCACAGTTGGTTGCAAAGGACTATTCTCAGAAACCTGGAATAGATTTTAATGAGACCTTTGCTCCAGTGGCAAGACTTGATACTGTAAGGACCTTGGTGGCCCTTGTTGCATAGAAAGGTTGGAAGTTATTTCATTTGGATGTAAAGTCAACATTTCTAAATGGAGTGTTGAATGAAGAGGTGTATGTAGAGCAACCATCTGGTTTTGTGATACAAGGCAAGGAAGATAAAGTGTACAGGCTTAAGAAAGCTTTATACGGTCTGAAGCAAGCTCCAAGAGCTTGGTATGAAGAAATAAACTCTTACTTTACAAAGGCTGGTTTTCATAGAAGTCCAAGTGAAGCTACACTGTATACCAAGACATCTCATAGTGGCATTCTCATTGTGTCACTATATGTAGATGACATTGTCTACACATGAAGCTCGAAGGAAATGATGACTGAGTTGAAGAATAAGATGATGAGACAATATGAGATGACTGATCTAAGGTTGCTTCACCATTTTCTTGGCCTTGGAGTATTGCAGACAGATACTTGTATTTTCTTGCATCAGAAGAAGTATGCAAAGACTTTACTTGAACAATTTGGGCTCAAGGATTGTAAATATGTTGCAACATCATTAGCTGTAAATGAGAAGCTTTCAAGAGTAGATGGAAGTGATCTGGCATATGAGACTTCGTATAGGAAAATGGTGGGGAGTTTGCTATATTTAACTGCAACTAGGCCAGATATCATGTTTGCAGCAAGCTTATTTGCTAGGTTCATGCATAATCTTACCAAGAAGCATATGGGGACAACTAAAAGAGTTCTGAGATACATAGAAGGCACTGTGAATTATGGTATTGCCTATGAGAAAGGAAAAGGTGCAGAGTGAAAGTGAAGATGACATGAGAAACACATCAGGTTATGCTTTTAATATGGGTTCAGGGGTGTTTTCTTGGGCCACAATCAAGCAAAGCAGTGTTGCTCTCTCAACTGCAGAGGCAGAATACATTAGTGCAGCAGAAGCCACTACACAAGCCATTTGGCTGAGATTTGTGCTTTCTGATTTTGGAGAAGAGCAAGCAGAACCAACTCAGCTGCTGTGTGATAACACTTCAACCATTGCCATATCAAAGAATCTAGTTCATCATCACAAAACCAGACATATCAATCGAAGATTTCATTTCATCCGAGATGCACTTCAAGATGGTGAGATTGATATGCTATACTACAAAACTGAAGAACAGATAGTAGGCATCTTTACCAAAGCTTTAGCAAGGGATCAATTTGAATTCCTGAGGAAAGCTCTAGGAGTAGTTTCAGCGCAACACTTAGAAGGGAGTGTTAGTTATAAGTGTATATGCTGAAATGTTATAAGAACTAAGAGTTGAATTTAGTTTAAATGCCAGCCCTTGGATTATAGTCTAGGTGTGCAGTTAAGATGTAATCTTAGAGTAAGTGATAGTTTATGCCATATGTCACTATCTTATAGGGTAGATAAATGGATGGCTAGATTTGAATGATGTAATGAGGGAATATGCTATTCCCAATGGTTTCATATGCACAGTGTGTGTGCGCGTGAATGAAAGCAAGCATCTCATTTTGATTCTTCTACAAGGTCTCTCTCTCTTAAATCTCTTTCTCTTGAACCTTTCATCTTCTTAAGATTTCCAGCTCCATTGTTTGTAGATTTGAAGCTTACATACAAGATAACAGTCTGCAAAGTCTAACAAAATCTATGCTAAATAAGTTAAAATTAAGCTCTTCTTCTTGTAGGATCCTCTCTCTTTCTCTCGTTCTCCCTCTCAAAATTAGCCAAAACGCCTGTTCATTCATGAGCCCATGCATAGTCATTTGGTTTTGGTCCTTGAGTCTTACATGACAAAAAAGAGAGCAAAGAAGAACTGAGCATGACCTCCCAGACAGATACATACCAGCAAATACTGGCAAGTCATCCTCGGCTCATATCTACTCTCAATCTCTTCATGCAAGACTCTTGGGAAAATATAATTAATCACCATTATTCCAATTCATTGCCATCATATATGATTTATCTTACATATTTATAGGCAGAGAGATTTCTCACAACCCAAGATACGTTTCCATGCATATCTAATTGGTCGCAAGGTGCTTTGACCATGATTCCATTCAAGCATGTAACCATCATATGTTGTGTTCCCAAGACTGATGACATGATCATTTAAAAGCTTTTTATTATGTTTCAGTGTGACATTAAAAATAAAAGAGATCAACAAGGAAATTATGAGATGTTGCATGGACAAAATCTCCTTATAGAGCAGGCTCTTGAAGAATAACTAGGATACAATGCTGATAAATTTCACCCTCATTTAATTAATCACATCCCAAATTTCCCTTAAAAGAATCTATTCTTGATGACAGCAATCATATATGTGCTTGAACCCATCCCCATTAGAGTTCTCTTTATTCCATGCAGTGGATGTCAATTGGTCGCAAAGATCTTGTGTTTGGGCCAGAGTTTTTGTTCCCCTAATGACCAGATATGAAAGGTTGCCCAAAATTTTAGAATGTGGATATATCCTCTAAGGGGACCAAAATGCGAGATCAAGGCCTTTGGGAGGCATATTGCCATCATACTCAAAGTTTTTCCTTTTTCTTTTGACCACTGCAAAAAGTTGGTCATATTGAGAATATAAGCATCCCGTACTATGAGCTTATCACATATCTATCGTTACCATTGCAATCACTTTCTCAAGAAATTTTACCCATTAGCGAAACATGATCTTGTGACTACATGACCATTTTCACAAGATAATTTTCACTTTACATTTAACTTTCACCAATACCATTATTTTTACTTTACAATTAACTTTGACGGGAGCCTCTTAAGTTGAGTTATGTAAGAGACGTATTTGTAAGACCCACCTCACAATGTGGACAATCAAAACCCATAATCTTTGAGGTTCTGCTTTCAAGTCATCAATACAAAACTTTAGCCTGTTCTTATTGCAACATTAATTAGTATATCTATTTATTTGATCATAATTAGATGTCTAAATGATTTTCACTTTGATTGATTTTTCATGTGAATGATACTAAAATTAAAATTTTAGAAAAGAGAATGTTCATATTATACATTAAATTACAATTGAACTTTGACCCGGAGATTTTTGCTTACCTTTCTTGGCTTATTTGCTCGATAGAAATGCACGAGTGCATGGCTAGAAAGGACATGAGCCTTGTATGCTATTGCCCATCGTCTTTCAGTTGAATTTATCTCCACCAACAGTGCTCCTATGCATACTCATTCTTCTTCCTCTCTACTCATTGGTGTCCTTCCTACCATGGTAAGTTGAAACTGAATTTGGATGGTGCTTGTAGTAATTTTGTTTGGAAGTGTGGATTGGGGGCAGTTGTAAGAAATGTGCATGGAGATCTCCTTTAATAAGGTCGCCTTGACCGGGCTAGGCTCTTCACCGTATAACCTTTACCCAAAAAACTAGAGCACAGGTATATTTTCATCGCTTTTACTAGAACCAGAGTCATAGGGGCACTTTTTTCTACCCTTTTTCTTACAATTGGCATTATAAGAAGCAAAAGGATGGAGGAAACCTTTTCAAAACTTGCCCTCAAAAGTCACGACTGCCAAATGAGGAATGCACTTGTTTTTACACCAAAATTCATAGGTTAGAATCGTACAAGGCAGCAAAGAATTTCGCAGAATAGGACAAAAACAAATGGGTATGAATAAGCTGTAAACAGTGAGCTGGAAATCCTAATAATACAAAAGTTGACTAGTCATACGAAGGAAAGATGACTAGTCATAATCTTCAGGAATTTAGTTAATGCAATGCAAAACTTACCTTTGTCAAACACATTGTTATCCATCATAATGCAGTCAGATAAGAACACCTAGAGATGTAATTCTTAATCTAAACTAGAGCTTGAGAAAATACAATGACTGTCCTATTACAAAATTGTCAAGGAAAGCCAAAAGAAAATTACAAAATGCATACACTTACATTAAGCAAGGGCTAAAATACACAGACCAAAAACAAAATTACATCAAATTCAAAACCTAAGGATATCAAAATAAGACTAAAACCTCAGACCCAAACGTAGTTAGGAGGAGAGAGAGAGGATAGGTGTTTAGGGTTTGTTAAACCTAGAAAGCTCTGATACACATAAGAATATTACATACAATTGATTACACAAATCCTGGAGAGCAACGCAGCCAGTTTAGTCACTTATTAATTTTCCGGTTAGCATTACTGAAGAATAATTGTGTGGAGGAGAGAAACACCGGGTGTCCGTCCTTCCAAACCTGCCATGCGCTTTCGTCCTCCCCAATTAATGCTTTTATTAACTCTTTTCTTCACTCCATATATAAAACATGTAGCTGAAAAAGACTTTGAAGGTCCCGGAGACGACGACTTCACACTTGCTTATTCGAACTTACGTAACACAGCTTACGTATGCAAATGAGCATCAAACCTAGATAAGGAGACATTAATTGCTCGTATATAGCAAACAAGTTAAAAAGATAGTCTTAATTTAATCCAACAACCAACTACTACCAGCCATTAGTAACAATCATGAAGTCTTTTATTTGTTTTAATTTTTTTTTCATGAAGTCTAGATTATAATAGAAGACCATGAGACAATAAGTTGATCATCAAAGCAAACACACAGATCCCAAAAGAGAGCTAATCAGTGTGAGACTATGACGACTTCTCCAGTGAAAGATCAGATGAGAGACTTTGTTGAGAAAGAAATCGACAACGCGCACAAGGTTGTCGATGCCATCACTAGTCCTATTGCCCCTCTGGACGGTGTCGTACATGGTGTGGCCAGAGGGATCTTTAAGCCAAAATGTGCTCCCAACAACCACGGTGGCAACGGCAGAGGTGGCAGTCGTGGAGGAAACGGGGACTGTAACTCCGGTGGTATACATAATACGGGTGGGAATCAAACTGGCAACACCAGCGGCAACAACACTAGTGGGAACATATCTAGTTACTAGGGAACAAGGGCAATGAGTAAGAAGAGTGCATGTGCACTAATGGCAATCTCTCGTTGCACATGCATGCAATTGGAGAATGCCATAATAAATTATCTGCTTGATATGTATGCCCTAAAATATCTACTTTAAAATAAGAGCTGATGCAATATCTGAGGCTCCTTGGCTAGGCCTTATTTTTATGTGTAATTAATATTATGCTAATAAATTAATGGGAGGTTCATGTTAAATATCAAAATTTTATACGTATAAGTTTTAGATTATCAATATAAGAGTAAACAAATGTGCTGGGTAACAACATCAAATTAAACATATATAAAATCAGATGCAATCCAACGGTCCGATCATCTCTGAGCTAATGGTACAGATTTGCGAGGCTCCGATCGTCAGTCAAATGACAGAATCTAGCAATTTCTAGCACACCACCATGCTTAGGACATTGAGGAAATCAACCTAACCTCAAATACATTGGCACCGCCGCACCACAGCGGCTATAGTGTGAATAGTAAATTTCAGCGACTGAAAATTGCCGTTAAGACTTACACAAAAATGTTCACAACAATGATTATAAAAACTTTAATGAATAGATTATACCTCAATGATAGCTGGAAGAACCCTAAAAAGTGTTGGAAATTCGTCAACTTTGGAGACTCGGTTCTCCCTGTACAGTACAAATCAGCTTGTGATTCTTGTACCAAAAGAAAGAGGACTTCACGATGAATCTGCAGCCACCGACTTTGCGTAAATCCGGATTGAAACGAAGGAGTTATCTTAAGTCAAAGTTCGAAGTTTTGAGAGAAAAAAAAATAGAAGAGAGAGAAGAAAATCAGAAGAAAAAAAATATTTCTATTTAAACCCCACACTTTTCTTTGTTCACCCCAATACTTAAATCATTAGTCTGGTAATGTTTTAAGAGAATATTTTAGAAAATGAAAACGAGAAAACGAATTTGCATTTTCAGGATTTGAGAATGTGTCTGGTAACATATAAACAATGAAAACTGTATAATTTACACACACACAAAAAAAAAAAAAAAAAAAAAAAAAAAAAAAAAAAGATAATTTTAAAGTTTTAAATTAATTATAAACAATTTTTAAAAAAAATTTAACAAGTAAAAAATTCTAATGTTTTTTAAAGGGTAAAATTATTTTATCTACTTTCTTTTTTCCTTTCTCTTTCTTTTTCTTCCCAAGCCATGTTTTTTTTTTCTTTCTTCCTCCTATCCTCTCTTTTCTTCTTCCTTCCCCCAGCCCCCCCTTTGTTTTTTTTCCTTCCTCTTCTCTCCTCTCTTTTCTTCTTCCTTCCTAGGCTTTTTTTTCTTTATTCCTCATCTCTCCTTTCCTTTCTCTTTTCTTCTTCCTTCCCAGATCCTAGCTTGATGTACTGTATCTGCCCCAACTCTCTGTAAAAAAAAAATAAAAAATAAAAAAATAAAAAAAAAATCATTTCTCTCTCTCTCTCTTCTCTTCTTGGTTTCGCTATTTTGTGGTTCTCCAGCATCAGTCGCCGGTGCAGTTGCCGGTGCCACCGTGACATCCTAGAATAGGTAGACCAGCCTGAACTTAGAGTAAACAGTGGTTGTTGACGACGATGGGTCTGGGTCGGAGGAGATGGTTTCCACAGTGGTGCTGCTCAGTTGATTGGAGAAAGAGAGATGGGGACAAAATGAATTTTCGTATCTTTAGAAAATGAAAACGTTGAAATTGAAAACAACATTTTATCGTTTTCAACTTTTGTTCATAAAGTTAGATTTGTGTTCAGAAAACATTTTGTGAGGGAAAACGAAAACGATCCACCGAACATGTATTTGCAGAAAAACAAGAAACCACGGAAACATAAAATGGGCTCTAAAAAAGGTTTTTTAGGTTTTAGACATAAAAAAATTTTCACTTTTGGAAAAAGCCAAAGCTTTTTCAAAAAAGACAAAAAAAACCGCTCAACTTTTAAATCAAAGACATGCAAATGTATTGATTCCTTAGGAAATCTAAAAATAAATAAGGGCATTTTTGTCCATTTTTGCTTCTTTTAAAATTTTTCTCTCTCCTTTTGCTTTTTCCAAAATGTCCCAAAAAAAACATTACTGAATGGGCCCTAAGCTCTTAAGTTTTATAATTGTGTAAAAAGACAAAAAAGTCATCCAACTTAATACTTAACCCTAGTACATCTATACACACCCCACCACTCTTCATATTAAGTTTTATAAAAACACAAACTCCCCTCTACACCTATTCTTAGATTACTCTTCTCTTTCAATCCAAGAAAGAGAATGAGGACTCCCTGCGAAGACCTGATTCTTGATTTCCACTCTAAGCGTAGTTGGCTTCCGTGTACTCATCCTTGTCCGTGTCCAAATCACTCTCTACCATCTCCTATTAAACTCTATATTAGAGCCATCTATACCCTAAAACACAATCCAATTTACCCAATGGCCTCTGAATATGTTTTGTTCCAGTAAAATCAATAGCATTGTTCAACTTGCACACAGACAACATTCCGAGCATGGTTTTCTTGGCCTTAACTCAAGACTCCTTGTACAATTTTCAGCAATAATACAAAGAAATTGCTTCAGAATTCCAAAACAGGCGCTCCACTATACTGGCATTGATTGAAGACTCCAACACATTCAGATTCAAAATTTCCATCAAGAAAACCTTAAATGTCCAATATTCTATAAGCTAAACTGGAAACAACAAGACCCAACGTAATCGGGAAAGAAAGTTTTGAAGGAAAACAATCAACTACAAATGATTTAGTTAAGCTCAGCTCTTCTAAGTCTTTCCAAGAAATTTTTTAATTGCTTAAACAACTTCTAGGCAACCAAACAGAGCGTTAAACCCAATGAAAGAATTACCGTAGAGCATTACAAAAAACCACTTTTACATTCCATTTACACCTCTGGGGGTTGTAAATGTGATTTTTGCTCTAGTGGAGAAGATGTAAATATAAAGATATATAATTGATTTCTTTTACCTTTTTTGCTGTAGGTCCCACTTTTGTTAATTTTTTCTCATGTAGGTTGCACTTGCAAGAGATGTAAAAAAAGATTTATATGTGCATTTAAATTTGCATCTCATGGTGGTGATGCAAATTTACACTCATTTACACCTCTCCATTGTGGGTGATTCCGATCACAAAGGGTGTATATTTAACATACACCTCATTATATACCATCCCACTGTGGATGCTCTGAGGTTGATGAGTTTTTTATTTTTTACTTTTTCTGCTGGGGGTTGTATTTAAGGGTAGTTTGGGAAGATAGTGTGGTTTTCTTAGAAATTGTGAAAATTTGAATTAGAAGTGGAGTGAACTTAGAATATGGGGTGAACAAAAAGAAATGTTATGTTTAAATAGAATATATATATATATATATATATATATATATATATATATGAAGACCAGCAGCCCCCGTGCACTGGTTTCCTTCGAAATTCCCTTCCCCTTTTTCCAAAAATACCCCTCCCAAACTTAAAAATTTAAACGTGAATTTCTCAATTGTTATAACTTCGATTGACGAGTCGTTTGCGCCTAAGTGTTTGTGAGATTGAGCTCTATTTTTCTATTTAAAAATTACATCTTTCTCACTTCAATTTCTGGAATGTCCTTTGAAAAATCATAAATGGGTATTTTTGTCCAAAATTGCAAATTGAGTTTAAACACTCTTAACTCCATTATTTTCACATCAAACCAACTTGATAAAATGCTCATATGTTTTATTAACCTTGTATGATTTTTCGGAAAATTAATAACAAAAAAAATCTATTTTTGAGGTTATTACATTGTCAGTGTCAGATATGTTTGATTAGGGGATTTGGATATGTATATATCTTGCTTGTTCATAGGTCTATGACTAGTCGTTGACTAGTCATATTGTTACTAGGAACATTTAATTATTGTTGTCTTAAATATATCCATTGGGGTTTTAATTTACCCCCTTTACCTAAATACCAATTTTAATGGTTCTTGTGGCAATTCTATTTGGAAGCATGAATTAAAGGCAATTGTAAGAAATGTGCATGAAGATCTTATGGGTGTTATTTTAGTCCCTATCATCATTGGATGTTTTTCAGCCACAATAACTCAACTCTTAGCAATTCGGGAAGTCATTCGATTTCAATGGGAGGCTGGTTATGATTCATTGGTGGTTGAGTCAGATGCGAAGATTGTCATTAGCAACATTGTCTATGGCAATGAGGCTTTTGAGAAGATTGCCATTAGCAACATTGTCTATGGCAATGAGGCTTTTGAGACTGCAGGGGGATTATCAACGACATCCACATGCTATCTAGAAATGTTGCTTTTCTTTCTTTTGTCTTTGTTCTCATATTGTGTAATATTGTGGCTGATAGACTTGCTAAGTTTTCTTTAGGTAGTGTGTCTGCAGACCGTTTGGCTTGAAGAGGGTCCTCCATGGCTCAATGTGTTTCTTCAAGATCATGCTGATATTTTGGATTAGTCATGAGTTTTTTTTGTAGCCTTAATGGAGCGTGTGGCACTCTTTTTTCTTCATCTCAGATTTTGTCCCACTGAGTTTTCATGAGCAAGGTTCTAATGAGGCCACATTTGTTCGCTCGAATCTGTAACCTTTGACAATTTTAATGAAAATAATTTACTACTTCTTCTCTATAAAAAATTACCATGTGGAATGGGCTACACAAGGTCTTCCCTAGGTTGTTTATTCAAGCAAAAAAAGCATGCAAGCAATAACATCGAAATGAATACCAGCTAGGATTATTCTAATTTATGCCAAAGTGTGGAGAATTTTATTAACTTTTGAAGTTAATCAAGATTATCATGATATTTTCACAATGTATGGTTCGTAGATTAGCGCTCGAATAAGTGTACCTGGAAACCCCCATCCCCAATGCAACTAATTAGTCGCTTGTGGGGAGCAGCCTGTGCATATATGCAAGAGTTGCACCAACTGACCAACCGACTAACCTAGTCTAATTAATCTTGAGGTTGATGATATACATGTACAATTACAAAGTTATCAAAAAGAAGCC